GTTTTTGTGTAAAAATACACTAACTTTGCCACCTGCCTTGAAAGCACAAGGTCCTGAGTTCGATCCCCAGTACCAAAAAATATATATATACTCACTAGGAAGGAAGACTGAATATATCTGTGTGGAAGAGATTTACTTACATGGTAGTCAGTGAACCCATAGGCAGTGGTGTGGTGGGAAACCTTTAACGGACAGCTTTCTGGGACGAAGGGAGAGCCCTGGTTTCTAGCATTTGCTGATCTCTGAGATATAGATATAATAGATGAAAATAACTTCAAGAGCATAGACAAGAGTAACTGTAATAAAATTACTAGGGAGTGATAAGGCTTAAGTATTTATCACCTTTGTTTATAATGTAAATAATTATACATTTATATAATTTAATTATTAATTTTGAGGGTGTTGGGATTTTATTTTGGTTTGGTTGAGACAGGGTTTTAGGACATTGTCCAGGCTGGCCTTGAATTGTTGTCATCCTGCTTCAGCCTCCCAGAGTGCTAGGATTGCAGGCATGTCCCACCATGCCCGTCTTTCCAATTTGTGGGTATGTGTGGTACTGGAGATTCAACCTAGGCCTTTCACACTGAGCTACACCTCCAGCCCTTTTTTATTTTTTATTTTGAGATAGGGTCTTGCCCAGACTGGGGTCAAACTTTCAATTTCCCTGCCTCAGCCTCCCCAAGTCACAGGAATTACAAGTGTGCCCCACCTGGCCAGGCTCCAATTTAATTTTTAGTAATGTCTGCTTTTAACAGTGGGCTCACAAAATAAGTAGACATTTTAACAATCAGGTTTTTTGAGCCATGAGCTGCCGCCAGCACACTACTCCCTGTGCATGAAAGATTAGAGCATCTTGGGGGAAAGTTAAGAAGAGAAAGAAATAGCAGTGAGATATTTTGTGTGAAGAAAAATGGAGAAATGTGGGTGTAGATCATTCTTCATGTAAGTAAATGTGTATCTGTAGAATGATTATACTCAATGCTGATTAATGGATGAATGTCTTTTGTCCCAAAAGTTTGAGAAATGCTTCATGTTAGATCTCATCTGCAGTTTTTGTTGTTGTTGTTTGAGTCAGGGTCTCACTATGTTGTTGAGGCTGGCCTTGAACTCACTGTGTAGCCCAGGCTGGCCTCGAACTTGAGGCTATCCTCCTGCCTCAGCTTCCCAAGTTCTGGGATCACAGACACGAATCACCGTGGTCAGCTCAAAATCCTCTTCTACAAAAACATTTGCTTCCAACTTTTTTTTTTTTTTTTTGGTACTAGGGATTGAACTCGGGTCCTTGCACTCGCGAGGCAAGTGATGGAATCACTGAGCTAAATCCCTGGCCCCTTGCTTCCAACTTTTAAACTGAAATCATCAGACTGACTCTCTAGAAAGATTTACAATGGCATAGCTTCTCAGATGTTCTGTACAAAGTATTTATAGTTTCTACATGGCCATCATCAAGTAATAACCAATAAAATCTCCAAGATGAAGGAAACAATGAAGAATAGGATCAAACCTCACATGTATTTATTCAAATATTTGAGTTCCTGCTGTGTTTTAGGGGCTGGGTAACAATCCAAATGAGTCAATGGGAACAAGCTTAGGAAGGTGGAGATTAACAGTGGTGTATGGCAAGTACAGGAAGTGCTGTGGTCTCTGTCAGACACAGTGCACTCGAGGCTCTGCTGGAGGAACAAGGGCATTTGAGAAGGGTACTGCAGCAGCTTCACTCAGGTGCTTGGCCAGGCCTCAGTCAGGATAGTTAGTTCTGGGCATCACCATTCCAGGTGCTTAGAACAGCCAGACTGCGTGCTAAGGACACAGCCAAGATAATCTAGAGGTGCAAAGCCAGGCCAAGGAAAAGCTTGGAAGAAGCTGGGTTGATGACTGTGAAGACAAGGAAATTTGGGAGTGTACTTATATTCCAGTAGGGACATGACTTTCACAGTCACGGCGGAGACATGAAAGACGGACAGCCAGCATGTGCAGAAGAAAGCTGGAAGGAAGTACTCTGCATGAGGTGCAGTGTAAGGAGGGATTACTTAGTGAGGACAGCTGCTTAAAAACAATGATTTCAGCTGGGGATTTAGCTCAGTGGTTCTTCGGCCTGCCTTGCAAGCACAAGGTCCTGAGTTCAATCCCCTGTACCAAAAACAAAACAAACAAAAACCAGTGATTTCAGTGCCTAGTTACTTGGAAGTTTCCAAGGCACAGCTGAGTGAGCACTGAAGGGCATGTTCACAAGGAATCCAAGCAGCCACTGTGAGAAGTGGGTCAGTTCAGGCCTGAAGTTCCACCCCAGTTTAGCCATTTCTCTTATACAGGCATAAAACACATACCAGTGTGAATTACTGTTATAGCACGGATGCTGCAGTTTTGGGGAATTGTCTTCCAGGTCAGATTTGTAGCTATTGAGTATGAAAAGGCTGACAACTCTATAACCTTCCTTGTAACATCTTTTTGACAGGCAGTGGTCCAGCTGCGTGGCTCAGGGAACACGGCTGTGGTGGAGTTGCCAAAATTCTAAACCACATCAGTTTTTAATCAGGTACATCTCTGCATACACTTGTTTTTCCTAGACTTGGTCCCACATGGAGGACAGAGGCCACCGAAGGGTCCCGTTTACTGAGGAAGTTCGCACTCCTGTGGACGTGTAGCAACCCCAGGTGAGACGAGTCCTCTGCTCTGCTGGTGACCCTGTAGGTTCCTTTAGTGCCACTCAGCTCAGACCCACAGCACAAGGGACACCACCAAGACCCAGCTCTCCAGGGCCTTCAGGAAACCTGGAGGTTTTTCTCTGGAGGGCCTGAGCCAAGCTGAGTTCTGCAGGAAATGGTTATTCTGTGTATCTTCCCTGCGGGTAGGTTTTGAGAGAGGCTCACATAAAAAGAGAGCAGGGTGCCGGGGATTTAGCTCAGTGGTTTCACCACCTGCCTCCAAAGCGAAAGGTCCCGAGTTCGATCCCTGGTACCAAAAAACCCCACAAAACTGCAGGACAGCATGGGGCTGAGGGAATTGGATGCTATGGGATCCTCCTAGATAATATGTATTCAAGGGATGAAGGCCTAGTAGGAAGTAGCTGGGACAGATCTATGTACGATTTACACATTTAACCAACTGTCACTTAATTGAGTACACTTTTTTTTTGGTACCAGGATTGAACTTGGGACCTTGTGCTTTTGAGGCAGGTGGTGGAACCACTGAGCTAAATCCCCAGCCCCAAATATCACTTAATTAATGACCAAGATAGTGACCAAAATTATTTGTAAAACACCACTTTCTGCCAGAGTTAAGAAGGGCTGAGTGAAAACATTTATGATATGGGGAGTTTTAAGGAACCAGTATTTTAGTGGTTTCCTTCCCAAGCCAGGGAGATTTACTCATTCATTCACTAACCCAGTCATTGGACAGCCTCAGAAAGGGCAACAGGCAGGTGGGGTGTGGGCCTGCAGTGCCAAGGTGAGCACATGGCTGCAGATGTCAAGCTCACAATCACGGGTACATCCTCTGTCCACCACTGCACAGGAGACCAGACAGTCAGAAGGAAGCCAGGAGAGGGCCAGGGTGGGCTCCGGGGGGGGAGCCAGGACATGAGACCAGAAAGGGAGGTTAGGAAGGTTCAGGGAAAACCAACACATTGTCGAGATGATTAAAAGAGTGCAGCTGTTCCTTGTGGAAGATTTCTGAAAATTGTTTTATAGTTCTGGGATGAAAAACAAGGTGGCAAGTGGAGACGATGGGGAGGTTTAAACAACTTTCCCTTGTTGTCACCTAGTTGCCTTCACCACTCTGTTGGGCCTCAAAGTCGGAGAGGAGTGGAGACACGCACTGAGCATAGCTGCGGCGTCAGAGCACCTTTCCACAAAATGATGACTGGCTTTTTCCCCTTCTACCTCTGAATCCTCTTGCAGATGCTTTCAACACGGATCGAACAGTGAGGGCAGTAACATTTACAGTGTGCAGAAGTACTGCAACTTCATCTCTTCAACAATCAGAGTGGTGTCTTTCTCATGCACCCCGGGGTCAGCATTTGGCAGCTTCAGAGCCCAGCCCTTCAGCACCACCGATCTTACCACTTTTCGCCAGACAGACCGGAGGAATTTCTTCAGCCATATCCTGCTCATAACCAACTCAGTTTTCTTTTCTTTTTTCTTTCTTTTTTTTGGGGGGGGGGTACCGGGGATCGAACTCGGGTCCTTGCGCTTGCGCTTGCGCAGCAGCAACTCAGTTTTCTGTTAGAAGCCACTCTTCGTTTTGAGGTCCCGGGGATTGAACCCAGGGCCTTCACACATCTCCAACCCTTTGAGACACGGTCTCACGAAGTTGCCAAGTTACCCATGCTGGGCTGGAACTTGCAATCCTCCTGCCTCAGCCTCCAGGAGTGCTCCTAGCCTGCGCCCCCACCCCGGCTAGAAGCCACTCTCGTCGGCTGGCACTAGCCAAGAAACTCGAGCTTGGGTTCCAAAGCTCACGCGAAGGCGATTTAATTCACCCACATGGAACTGGCCCAAGGATGACCTTGTGAGCGCCTTGAACTTTCACCCTGGTGGAGCCTGAGTCCGCACAGCTGTCCCTTTATTCCAGTGGCCCCGGGCTCACCCACAGCGTCACCTTCGTCAGCAGCAACGCGGGCACCGCTCGGAAAGACTCCGGGGCACGCGCATCCCTGAGGGCGAGCACGTTTACGGGCCACCCGGCCACCGGAGCCCCTCCCAGCGCCCCGGCCCCGGGCGGAGAGCGGGCACCGCAGGGCGACCACTCCGAGACGCAGCGGCGGGGCGGGGCCGGCGCGAGCAGGAAGGGGGCGGGGCCGCTCCCGCCCCTCCCCGTCCGCTCTCCGCCCCGCCCCCGAGTGACGTCACTGGCCAGGCCGGCCGGCGCCATTTTGAAAGTGGAGTCGCCTGCCGCTGCCGCCCGCCGCCGCCGCCGCCGCCATCGCCGTCGTAGCCGCTGCCGCCGCCGCCGCCACAGAAGGAGCACGAGCGGGGAAGCTCCAGAGTTGAAGCCCACCATCCCGCCGGCGATCCGCCCGCCCCTCCTTCCTCCGGCCGGTCCCCGTCCCCGTCCCCCACAGGTGCCATCCGCCGCCATCCGCGCCCTCGACCCCCCCATCCCCAGGTGAGGGGGGTGAGTTCGGGAAGCGGAGACCCCGAGGCACCCAGCAGGGTCACCATTTGCAGCGCGACATGGCAGGTAAAGGAGAAATGGCCCTCGCCCAGGGGCCGGGCGCCTCTTCCTTCCTCCTCCCTCCATCACCCCCTAGCGACCGCCGGGCCGAGCGTGCAGCTGCCGAGACCCTCGGGTTTCGGGGCGCGGGGCGGCGGCGGCGGTGGGGGCGGGGGCGGCGGCGGCGGTGGGGGCGGGGGCGGCGGCGGCGGTGGGGGCGGGGGCGGCGGCGGCGGTGGGGGCGGGGAGGCGGTGGGCGCGGCAGCGGCGGGGCTGTGCAGCCCGTCCCCGCGGAGTCCTCCCCGGCCCCTCCGCCCAGCCTCCCCCCGGCTCCTTTACCCATCTTCCCTCTTAATTTCTACTCCTCCAGTCCTCGGGATCTAGTCAGATGGATTTGGCTCTGGTAGGGAAGAGCGCTTTATAAGTTAAAATACATTGGAGGCGTATGTATTCCCCCATCACCGCCCCGCGCTGTGGGTTCTTCTGTTTTTGAGGCTACAGGCCTAAATTTTTCTTTTTTCCGCACGAGCTTCTTTCAGTTTCTTATCCTCTACGACCAAAGAGTGCAAGGCCTTTAATATAGAGCAGGTTGCATGGAAAACATAATTTAAACTTTCCGTTTTCCGTGTTAGGTTTTGTGCAGATGTCCTTTTCCCAAAAGGCTTTCGTGAAGTTAGTTAAAATAGTTGTGGAGTTCAGTGATATAAATAGCCAAAGGGAGTGCAGTGCGATTTTGTAAAAGCTTGCAAAAAAAAAAAAAATGTATGGAGAAAACTAGGTTGGAAATGCTTAGCAGGGATTGGGGTGAATGAAGAGAAGTAATTCCTTTGAGCATTGTTTTCTTGTACATTTTGGTGTTGCAGATGTCTTCCTTCAAACATTAAAATCAATCCTAGATCCATCAATTGGGGACATTTTTTGCATTTCCTCCTCAGTGCTTGGAAGTGGGGTAGACATCCCGAGATTAAATCAGTTTTCCGTCCCTCCCTTCCCCCAGTATTTAGGTAGATAGTGGAACCTTTAAAAAAGTTAGCATAGTGATTGACTTGCAGTTTGCTGTAAACAAGTTGCTCTTGACCTTGGTGAATAATGAAATGAGATGAAAATTGTTTTGCACGGGATGACGACAAATTAGCAAAACGCATTCTTTTGCGGGGTCTTTTGGCTTCTTAGGGATAAGGTGAAGGGAAGCAGACCAAGCTTCCTTTGATGGTCTGTTCAGCAGCACTCATTTCCGTTCCTTTTCCTATCTTTCTGGAGCCAGTGATTTGCTGGTAATGAATGCAAAGGAATGGGTGTCATGTTTGCTGGGTGCGCATTTTGGCGATAAGGTTCTTAGGAATCTTTATCCCATCTAGGCAGTAATGTACCAGAAGTATTCTCTGGTTTCTGTGCTTCAGGGTAGTTTAATTTTACTAAATCTTCTGCAGTCTTTTTGTACACTTAAAGGAAAACTCTAACTTTTGCCACTTACACTTTCTGGTAGGTCTTGCTTGAGTGTAACACTTTTTTGTATTCAAAGAGAAGGGAAAATGGAAGAGAAGTTTCGATTTATATACAATGATTAGGATAGAACATGTATCTTTAAATATTACAGATCTGAAATCTTTTTTTAAAATGCACTACTAATTTCTGGGAAGCAACCTTTTCCCACATTTGTTCATTTGGTGCTGCTTGTATGTGGGGAGTACCAGGCTGTTAGGATCATGCCAGCCATGGATACCATCTCTGTGTTTATGAGAGTAAACATGAACAGAACTGTTTTAATGGGTATGTTTTCTTTTTCCAGGAGCTGGAGGAGGGAATGATATTCAGTGGTGTTTTTCTCAGGTGAAAGGAGCAGTAGATGATGATGTAGCAGAAGGTAAGAAAGCATTTAATGCAACACTTGAATAATAGAATCTTTTTTTGTTTGTTTGTTTGGTACTGGGGATTGAACTCGGGACCTTGAGCTTGTGAGGCAGGCGGTGAAACCACTGAGCTAAATCCCCAGTCCTGGAATCTTTTAAATTTGTTAATGACTGAAGGATTTCCTTGAACCTGAGCTTGTTAGAGTTTAAGGACGTTTTGTTTATTTCCCACAGGTGATTAAAATCACCTTTCAGAAAAATAGCCTTAAATCTCTTGTTATTTATGCCTTATTTCATTTTTTTTCCTGGATTTAAGAAGCAGTAAATGATAAATGGACAGAGCCATCACAAGAAAGCTTTAAGGCCATATGATAAAGGTTTCATTGTTAGGTAAATTCTAGGTAAAATAGATGGTGGCAGAGCTCCGTGTTTGTGTGTTGTCTTTAGATAATTAACTGGAAATAGGTACCATCAACCCTTAGCTCAGAAATGCTCCTCACACCATCTTTAATAGAGGATTTTGGGTGGTTTTGAACTTGCCGGCTTTGAGAATGTGTTATTGATTGCCGCATTCTATAAAGAAATACTGGCTCAAATTATTCATTTTGTGTTGCAGGGATTCGTGTAGGTGGTAAAGTAATGTTGTGACTGCCTAGCTTGCTATTTGGGGACCATATTTTCTGTGCAGTTAGAATCAGATTAGTCGAAGTATTTAAGTCTTAATCCTCCCCTAAGTTTATTAACTTATTTCAAAAGTTTATCTGAAGTTTTGAAACTTCCCGGTTTCTCATTTGTTTGAAGTGGTCATAGTCATATAGTGGAGATGTTATTTGCACAAAGCACTTGCATTATTTCATTGTTCAGGAAGTTTGTCTTTTTAGGATTGTCTTGAGTTACCTAAACAAACAAAACTTAGGAAATTAAAACACTTCTGATTTTTAAAAATTTGCCTATTAAGAGTCTACATGTTGTTTCGGGTGTGTTGTCTTTCTGTGAGGATCATATTCTGATCGCCTGTCTGTAGGCTGCCGTTTGTGTGCAGAGTTTTTCCGGGTGGTGGCATTGTGTTAGCCAGCCAAATGCATGCACAGTATTTGCTAGTGTCTGTGTTGTTCCCCATGAAGTGTCTGATCAGGGCGTGGTAAATTTACAGAAAGCCACTTGGCATAATTAGACTTGCATACATTACAGATCTCTCTCTCTCTCTTTTCTGTTGGTCCTCGTCCATTTTTCAGATGAGAAACCAGAAACTTAAAGAAGTGAGAGACTCACTGATGGTCACACGAATAATGAAGCTTTCTGTGGAAGCTAATGTTGTTTTTGACTTGTGTAGAGAAGGAAAGGAGGAGTCACATATTAGTCATTTTGTGACTCCATTACCTGTTGAATAGTGGGCCCTTAAAGACTTGATCGGTAGTTCTTTGCTCTTGTGCAACACCAAGTTATGAAAGCACTGTATACTTAGAAAACATTCCTTGGTTGAATTATATTTATTTCCTTTATGGTGGTCTCCTGAATGCCAAGCCGCGAGGATATGTGATGTCTAGTGTGTGAACTCCACTCAGGGAGCTCGTAGTTTGCCTACTGACCAGGAGAGAGAAAGATCATGTGGATTTTATTTAATCAGAAGAAATTAGTATTCCAAACTGAACATCATTTACCTAACTGAACCAGTCAATATTTATTTTGTTTGTTTGTTTTGGTACTGGGGATCGAACGGGACCTTGTGCTCGTGAGGCAGACAGCGGAACCACTGAGCTAAAATCCCCGGCCCTTGGACCAGTTTATTTTTGTGCTGCTTTATGCAGAATGTCCTGTATAAAGTGCTGTGCCTACAACAATGCCTGGCACACTGTACATGTCAAATGTTGAATAAGACAATCTAATTGTTACTGTTGCTGTTTTGAAAGGGGAAGAAAATGGGTGAAAAATGGAATGATGGAGGTGTATTTCTGGGAATTGTGGCTCTGTTTACTTGGCAGCTTTTATAACTGAATTGCTGATGTACAGTTGTGTAATACAAAGAAATCAGGAGATCTTGGGCTTTTTCCCTAGCTCCGACATGAACTAGCGTATGTCACGTTAAGTAGTCCTCTGGGTTTCTACACGCTTAGACAAAGTGACAGGACTAGATTAGGTGATTTCTGCTGTTTTTTACACTCTGGTCTTGTTAATTCCCAAAGATGCCTTAGAAAGAAAGAGTCCAACATTGTTACTATTGCCAAGTGAAATCGAGATGTTGGACTCAAGAGGGGCCTTAACTTAAAGTTTGTCTTCCCTGGACTTACATAAGGCTCAGAATTGTATTATTAAGTACATTGTGGAGCTAAGACAGAAACAACATTCTATATATTTATATATTTAAAAAAATTTTTTGTCTACATACGCTTTTCTATAAGCAGCTTTCATTTTAATATTCTTTTTTCCTGTTATTTATTTATTTTTTAAATTTTTAATATTCAGGGTAGCATTAGCAGTATATCATTTTAAGTCATTCATGGTGGCTTATTCCTGTAATCCCAACACTGGGTGGACTGAGGCAGGATGATGACAAGTTTGAGCCCATCCGGGGCAACTAGTGACTTAGTGATATCCTGTCTCAAAATAAAAAATATAACAAAAAGGGCTGGTGGTGTAGCTCATTGCACAGGCCATGGGTTCAATCCTCAGCACCATACACATAAATCATTTCTTTTTTTTTTTTTTTGGTACCAGGGATGGAACTCCGGAGCCTGTGCTTTCGAGGCAGGCAGGGGCCCTCATATTTTTAATTTTTCCTATATTGATAACTTTGTCCTCAGGTGTTAAGAAAGCAGTTGGGTACTACTGGCATAGTTTGAACTCTCAAATCACTTGTTTGCTAGTTGATCGGGGGCAATTTAATCCATCTATTTGTGCCTGTGTCCCCCTTCATAAATGAAGATAGCAGAAAACCTTGTCTTAAGGTGTTGTCTTGATGATTCCATGAGTGTATATACCTGGAACGGTACCAGCAGATAATAAAAGCCTTTCTAAGGATTTAGCTATCATTAGTACCTCGAGGTTGATAGCCAGTTAACCAGGGAATTGTAAATTTCTTGGCTAAAGTGAAGGAGATGGTATGTGTATATATTTCATACATGTTCTTTGGTTGGGGCTGGGGATTTAGCTCAGTGGTTCCACTGCCTGCCCTGCAAGCGAAAGGACTTGAGTTCCATCCTTGGTACCAAAAAAAAGAGACAAAACATGTTCTTTGACTGTATTAGTAATAAAGGTCAAAAAAATTCAAAACACTTTTTTTTGCGTTTTTGAAACAGGGTCCGGGCCATGTAGTTCAGGCTCACCTTGAGCTCACTGTGTAGCCCAAGCTGGCCTCGAACTCCCAGCAATCCTTCTGTCTCAGCCTTGTAAGTCCTGGGATTACAGGTGTGTGCTACCACGCTCAGGCTAAATTTTTGGTTTTGAGAACATAAGAAGCTGATAAAACTATAACAAAAAGCTACAGAACTAATTACCACCAAAGCCAGTGTAGTGGTTATTTTCAGGCAGGTGAGAGGAAGTTGTGATTAGGAAGGGCTGGGGAATACAGTGGAGTGGATGGTGATTGTACAGATGGGTTTGTTTGTTTGTTTTGCTTTTTTGAGGCAGCACCTTGTTTTGTAGTTCAGGCTGGCCCTGAACTCATTATGTAGCCCAGCCTGGCCTCGAACTTGCACCATCTTCCTGCCTCTGCCTCTCAAGTGCTGGGATCACAGGCCTGCACCACCATACCCGGGTTGTACAGATGTTTGTGATAACTCAACTTGGACTCCTTTGGTCTTATTTTGGTTTCATTATGTTATACATAACAATAAAAATTCTAGGAGGCTGAGGCAGAAACATGGCAAGTCCTAGCCCAGCCTGGTCAATTTAGCAATTTAATGAGCATCTTAAAATAAAAAGAAAAGGGTTAGGCATGTCCTGGGTTTAATCCCCAGTACAAAAAAAAAAAAAAGTTTGATTTCTGTCTTGTTTTTCAAATCCAGCACTCTAGTAAAAAGGGTTCAGAATGAAAAGTGTCAGTTTCCTACCTCGTTTGCTCTGTATTGTGTAGTTCTGAGTACAGGTGTTCTGCTAGCTGTTTCCTTTGGTCCTTAATTACTCTTTGGAAGGAAGAAAATGACATTTCTGTATTTTATTAATTTTTTTTTTTTAACAGAGTCTTGCTCTGTAGTTCAGGCTGGCCTTGAACTCATCAGTGATCTTCCTGCCTCATCCTCCCAAATGCTGGGATTACAGGCTATCTTTTAGTAATTTTAAATACTTCAGAGTAACTTCCCTGGTAGAAGGCTGAGTTGTCACATTGTTGTCCCCTTCTGTCCCTATCACCCTGACATCACAGTGCAGGCTGTGGTTCAGTTCTAGTGCTTACCTCATTATGACCATTACATGTTTGCTGCTGAACCAGCAGGGCTGCACAAGGCCACTCCTCTTGCTCTCCCTGAAGCTAATAATTACTTATTTGTATATTTGCCTCTTTTGCATTTCTGAAACCTTCATTCTGAGATTTTAAACATTATGCAGACTCGTGTAATGAACTATCATCACCCGACATCCACTTGGGACCAAAGCTATCTCATTTTATTGCATCATTTCACCCTTTTCCATCTGTTAATTATAGAAATATTACTGTTTTTACAATCTGAATTCAATGTGAAACAGGATTTTTTTGTCCTGATTTTTTTGGCATTGTTTAACTTGCAGAAATAAATTATTAAAAATTTAAATGTTTGTGGATAATCTGAAGTGTGTAATACTTGGTTAAGATACAGAACAGCTGTTAACCATTCAAGATGGTTATTTTAATGTAAATTTCCATTATTTAATAAGTTTTAAAATAAAAATTTAAAGCTGGCATAGGCGCATGCCTGTAATCCCAGTACTCAGGAGGCTGAAGCAGGAGGATTTCAGCAAGTTCAAGGGCAGCCTGAACTACATAGCAAGACCCTGTCTCAAAAAAACAAAACTGGGTGTGGTGGCGCATGCCTGTAATCCC